AGATACGTATCCAGTCTCTGGTGACCCTTTGCTCGGCCGACGAAACAATGCCGCGGCCTGGCGAAACAATGGCAGCGAAGATATGCCTAGGTCGTGGCTGACCTCCGATACAAGCGGACGCGTTTGCCCGACCGACGGAATTCCAGCGAGTAAATTCGCTGGACGAAGGAGAGAAGCTGGGACAGGCATGCGAGCAATGCAGATAAAGGGAAAATTTAGCGCCGCGATCGAGGGACTTCGACGTACTTCTTCTGCCCAACTTGCTGTTCCGTACCGCCTCGACAATGCACTTTACTATGACAAAATGAATCGCGTCGGGTCAGCGACGAGAAATATTGGCTCGAAGATAGGTGAATTGAAAAAATTCATCGTCGATAGTTCAAAAGGTTTTCGATAATGAATACCTTTGAGTAAGTGTCCCATGTAGAAGGGGTATTTTCTTATAGATATCCATTTTCACTCTGCCACTTAAATTGTTTTTACGTGAATACTGTTCTCTGAAACATCCACTAAACGCGTCATTAGTGTGACCCATTTTCCTGCATCAAACGAGTCAAAGCGCAGCGGTTTTAGGTACCATAAGAACACCGTTACGTCTACCTAAAATGTCACGTCACTATTAATAGTTTAATATCCGGGATGTAGTGATCAAATTTTATTAGTAGAAACAGTAGCCAAGAAATGAGATTCCTAGGAATAAAGGAACATAAAAAAGAAAATAATTAAAATGGTTTTTCCGTTAAGTATTATTAGTACTACTAAAATTATTTATTTTATTTCACTGATACTAATTAAAATTCAAAAATAAATAATCTTGCAATTGAAATATAATTCTATTATCAGGAATCTTTCATCTTAAAATTGCAAGAATCAAAGATTTTTCATAATGTGCGATGATCAGAGTGCTAAGTGCATAAACATTGGTAGTCGATTAATGAGCGATGGGAGAGCGAACGTGTTAAATTGCTCGTCGCATGGTCAGCATTCCCGGGGAGTTCGATGCGTGGACGTGAACGAATTCGAGAGTCGGAGGACAGGGCTCGTCGTGACGTGAAAAACTGTCGGGATCCTTGTGCTCTTAGGCTTAACGAAGGTCGTGCCGCTTGTACGCAAGGTCGGTTATTCATCCGCGCTGATTGCACAAGGATTTCATTAAATCGCTTTGTATTCCCCAATAGTCATCGATGTTGCTCTATCGTAACGAATACTAGAACGCTTTCGTGGCCCGATTCGGAGAATTTTCTGATGTTACTTGGCGAACATCTTACGAATCCGTCATAAAAATCAAAGGTTAAGAGAAAATTTCGTCTAGGCAAGGATTGTAAAATTCATCGAAATTCTAATTATTATTCATACGTCATAGAACATAGACTAAACATAGAACTTATAAGATGCATGGAAACCTTAATTATTAAAGATAATTAATTTTCAAATTTAAGCTTAGAATTAATTTCTTTTTACTATTCATACAGTAATAATGATGGTACTTAACATTTTTGTGTTCTTTTTTCTCTAATTAATTAGTCAATCAAATTACATTTCATCTGAAACGCGAATCATCAGTGGCTTCCACAATAATTAACACAATTATTTGATTCTACCTATAACAGCAACGTACTAATCCTTAGATAATTTTTAGCTTTCTCCATCAAAAATACGTAAGTTTAAAATCGTCATCGATAACTTGGATAATTTGCTTCCGTTCCTTCTGTAACATTAATTTTGATACAGTTTTATAACACGAAACCAGTTTCAGCAAAGCTTTTACGTTTTCTCCTCTTTTTTTTTCATTTGAGTTCATTGAAGTTTACGTTCGTTTATTGCATCACGCCGAACGGCTGGTACAATTCAAACAACTCCATAAACGTTGATTTTATTGATTTCAAGAAGTTCTTAAGGATAAAGGTGATACAGTTCGAAGGAGGTCGTGTGCTGTGTGACTCAACTTTATTTTATCTGTCGTAGTTCCGATGATTTTGAGTTTATTTCAAGCTCTTTTTGTTGCGAGAGAGCCGAGTTTATGCCCGCAATAAAATCGTGGATCATGCCGGGGAAGATTCAATTTTCTGCGAAAATGTTCTCCAACGACCTTCGGTAAACAGTTTGCATGTTAAAATTCGAAAATCCTCCTTACAGCTTTATGGTTTTCTAAAAGAATCCGGTGACTCATTTTACACCGTCTCACATAGTCATTCTTGCCTCAAAATTGAATATTAAAAATTTCCTTTCAAATCTATGGATTTAAAATATTAATGACAAATGGGACAAAATAATTAAAGCACAAAAAATTTCCTAATTTCATACCATCCAAAAATCCTGAAAGCCCAGAATACTTATTTTTAAAACGATTTGACGAAACATTACTCTTGCAATCATTCTTCGTCCTTAATGTCCGCAACAAAATGAATTCCACGAGTTTAATACACTTTTCCCCGGTCACGTCTCCTTAAATAAACATTTGATCAATCATCCAGCTGTCTCCTCCCCTCGCATTAACCCGAAGAGGAACATCGTACGGATAATCTCATTAAAATTCAAGTAGTCTGCATAGCCAGAAGCAGAAATTGCTCTTGTATAATGTCTCCTTTGTAATTAACCGTTCCTGATTGCCCGTAATAAAGACGTGTACTTACACATAGCAAAAGAAGGAAAAAGAGCTTTTGAAAAACGTGACCAACCGTTTCGCAGCCCATTTATTTGTTTCAAAGTACGGGACCGTAGCAGATTATACTTACATGCACCAAAAGGCGGAGATTAAGGGCACGTGGGCGGTATCCGCAGGCTGTTGAATTTTTGCAAAGTATCAGTTTGTTCGTGACCTTCGATACACAGCAACGATCGTCTAATTAAGGTGTTCTCTGAGAAGGCTACAGTAGAACCTTGCTTATCAAACCTAATAAAGTGACATACAGTGGTTCGCATTAATATTCGGGTAACCATGTTATTTTAATACGTTGATTTCCTAGTTGGTCATCAGTGATTGACACCATTAATCCAATACTATTTGAATAATTAAACGAACATTTGATTGGCATTGAAATTATTATCATTTACACGAGGTAGCACGTCGAAATCTAAATTTAATCCTTGAATAGTTGTTTAAATTTAATTTCAGACACGTTTCATTCCTGTTTTCTAAATTTTAAACTTTTCCTTCAGATATTATTTTTACATGACGCAGTTAAAAATTTTATCTAAATTTAATTAAAAAATTTTTTAAATTCAAGCGAAGTACAGTACCGAGCATAGTAGAGTTTTTCAAGGAAAATGGCGATGCTTTTTCCTTTCTTGTGGACCTTCACAGATTTTCCACCTTTCCTGAAAGTTTCCCTCGTTTCCGGTTCTTCCCATAGGTTTCCTGATTCCCTGATAACGTCATTTTTCCTAAGGAAGCCTACTTTGCTCGATACTGTACACGCAACCATCGAATTAAAATACATTCCTGAGAAATTTAATCAATTCTCCGTGTACAAAATAAAATATAGTAGTTAATCATGTTACAATTACCAGGAATGATTTGTTTGCATTGAATTACATGGCCAGCAAATTCTACGTTGTTCCTTAGTTAATTTACTTTCGAGAGTTAATTAGAACACAACTCGGTGTTCTTGCTACATGGTCGAGCCGTTAAGGGTTGAAGATGTTAATGAGATTATTCTTGCTTACAGAAGAAAACAAGACAATTCATCAACGTCGTCTTCTTTCAATTCGTACCACCTAGGTTAACGCAATTTAATCTCGTTATAGATAACTCTCTGCTATAACATGTGACACGTGTTTCACAATACTTTCTCTTACATTGTGTGACAACAAAACGCTTAATCAGACGTGAATATCACGGTCGTAGCTTTAGCGCATAAACGAGGTGAACTAGTGTCCTAGAAAAATAAAAGATCTTGATGGCGATCTAGTCATTATTATGTTTGATTTATTGTTTAAGGAGTAGCCAGAAAAATTTGCCAAGATCTGGAATAGATTCAAGAACAATTACTTCTTTAGCATCGATGTAAACATAAATACTACGTATTTATAATTAAATTTAACCACTTATGATTTTTAGAATTTCAGGCATAATAAATTAAATATCAAGCATCTTATTTTACTTTCTTTCGAATTGATTCGGTAACTTCTTATAAAACTGTTTCACCAAAAATTTGTATGCAGAAGCACTTCTCTGATTCCTATTTTTAAACCTCTCAACTTCAGGAGACGACACACTCTCTCTTCCAACGATTTGCACAATTTAATCTTAATGATCCTGAAAACATTTTCTTCAAACAACCATATATGTTTAAAATTTTAACAAAGTAATAAATATATTTTTTTTCTCAACGCTATCCACAAGAACATGGATCGATCGAAACGTTTTCAAGCTTCGCTTGATCTCCTTCACACTTGGCTTAGTTATCGGTTACCTGATTCGATTAGTCAAAGCGGAAGAAGCTGTTAGCTTGTTGCAGAACTCAAATTCCCGGTTTATTCATAAAATATTCAATAGCTATAGTAATCTACATTGAAATTAAAATAATAATTAGTTGAACCATTCAATTTTTAGTACCCTAGCATTAAAGATTTCTAATTTTTTCCTTCGAGGGTGGAATTATTACTTCCTTTAATTTAAATTAATGATACTCTGTGCAAGCTAAAGAATACACCGTCCCCAAAGGGTTAAATTATAGTTAATTCTTACAGTCATCAAATAGCAGAAGAGTAGGAACGGAACACGTCGCCGAAATTCCCCAGTCCGATGGTCCATCGAAGTGGCGGGAATTTATCGAAGGTCCCACGTCCGGTCGTTGCAACAATGACACGTATGAACGTACAGTAGGTATAAAGAGGTGCAGGGAAGAGGGGAAGCCGATTCGTCAGGCTGGTCTCTTGACGTTCCGGTTAGCCGAGGTAAAATCGTAGGGAGTACGGTGGCGGAGGTTGAGAATCGCGTTTGTGTACGTGTTAGAGAGAGGGTAGAGAGGCGAGTAGAGGCGATCGGCTCAGCTCGGATCAGCTGTGAGAGCGGCGTGGCGCCGTGTGCCGCCGCTCTGACCCGCTGTCAGTTGCCCGAGCCCTGTGCTACGGTTAGGACCGTGCAATCGTCACCTTTTAACGACCACGAGCACGTAACTCGCGCGATCGTAACCCTTCCATCGAAATAACGACCGGGCTTCCTCTTGTCGCCGCGTCGTTTAATCGTTCGTCCCGTTTAATCTTCCCGTCGCGATCGAAACGGAAATCACGATCGTTGGCTATCGCGAACAGAGAGGTGTTCGATCTCGGTGGTCAGGCATTCGTTTCCAAGCTGTTCCGAGCCGATACTCTCTCGCTGAAAACACACACGCTCCGAGTATTTTCCTGGATGATCATCGCGATACGTGTTGGAGTTGAATAGAAGCCGTTTCGAATATCGTGGTGGTTTTGTGATGGAAAAGTGATCGGAGGTTAATCGAGGGAGTAAACTCGACGAAACGGTGGACCGCATGCTTCGCTGACCAAGTCTCAGGATGATCTGGTAGAGGAGGCGGCTGGTGGTTTGATCGCGAGAAATGGCGTGCGGAATATCTTTCCGAACGACTGCCACGAGCACGGTACTTTTCCTCCTGGTGAGTACTGTGTTTTTCATTCTTATTCATACCTTTCTGTAATAAGTGTGGTGCGCAGTGCCGTGCTGGAAATCGAATGTTATCGAACACATTTTTTGGTCCCGTTTGGGAATTTGAGTACTCAACAGAGTTAAGAATTACCTTTGAAGAATTAAAGAAAAGATTTAATCCTGCACCTTATGATTCTTCATTTTAAATCTACAATATTAGGCTTAGGATAAATTTCAATTACAGCTTAATTAATTAAATTTTTTTAATTAATTAACATAAAATGAAACTGCAGATGAATAATAATTAAATAGCATAAGTCTGAAGTAGAATGGTCCGCGCATATAGTTATTTATGAATTATTATAATTAATAGTCTTTGATAAGGTGGCACGCTATTCAACGTGATACTTTCACTTTTTTACACCAGGTCATTTATGAAACGCTTCAACTCTAATTCCTTCATTATTCATACGGAAAAGTGACCATTTTTCACGCGCAATATATCGTATTCTGATCGAAGCGTTAAATTTAGGCTCGTGTCGATCGACTTCGGAATGCTTTTGTTTACATATTTTGAGCATAAAGTCAGTTGTGAGTTAATGTTTCGGAGAGGTCAACCAGTTTACCCGGTCACTCGGTTCAAATGGAAATACATATATCGTGTGCTTGCTATTCTAAAGGTGGATTGTACTATGCCTAAACACTGTGTTCGGTAATAGTAACATTCACGGTGAACCCGCTGGAATTCAAACTTGATCGTACAATTTAGATCCACTCAATTTCATTCGACACTTTGTTCTCTGTAATTTTAACCCTTTAACGCGTTTAATGCCGTATAGGTCATTGGTGTTCATCGAACATCTTCGATTCAGGGAATAAAAATATTTAATTATACTCTAAAATAAAAAATAAAAATAAATGAAACAGAAGCGTGTTTAGAATCCCATCAATTAATTTTCAAATTTAAGTTCTGCATTATTAATATAAGGTTGCCTTCTCTAATTATTTAATTACACAAAATTCATAAATTCACTTGCAAAATTCCGAGATAATCAATGACAGTCATCAACCAGCTTTAAAGAGTATCAATAAGCAGTAGCAAGCAACATTTACACCAAATAATCCTAAATTACATCATAAGCATAAATGTCACGAATTTGCTAACAATAACCTTTGTAACGTTCTCAATGCGAGCCGTCATATGCTTTCTGAAACGCCACCCTTTATATACAAACCGTGACATTTCCTTCAGTGTGATTTCATCAATGTTCCTTGTAACACACTTAATAACGCTTTTCCCGGTTCAAACAATAGCTATATTTCTGTCCTATAAATAATTTCATTTGTCAATGAATATTATTTAAATTACCATTATATATCATTTAATGAAGCAGAAATTTAAAATATTTGGATATTCATACGATTTTATACGATTCTCAAGAATCTCAATTTGGAAACCAATTGTCTTGAATTCATTGTGGATTATTATAAGATTATTAACAATAGCCAAAGTAATCAGTGTATTCTTACTTTATTACTTTAGGGGATGATTTTCATTCCTCAGCATGCTTCACAATAATTTTTTATAAATTATAATTCACGTAACAGATAAATATGTACATGTTGGTTTCGATATGGGGTCAGAAATGTTTAATCTTTACAAAGAAATAAATATTCATTAGATAGAAGGAACACGGAGGTTCTCTGTTTCGCCTGCTTTCGTTCTTTCTCAATTTCAGCTCAAATTCACGAGCTCTCTGAGAGGCAAGTCTCAGTGTATTCTCGCGAACCGGAATACATAGGGTAACCGAAACCGATGCGTGTACCGAGGCTGGTGGCATTCACATACGGTGTGTCTAGGAGCACGCATCGGTTAGCGTGCGTTTAGAGTCAAGGATACAGAGGCGTTATCTAGCCGTGATTGCTATACTTAACGCCGAGTATATGTGTACATATACCGGTCGAACACCTTTGCATACTTAACTTGCATTCACGTGCAAATGCATACGGCTCTTGTTGTCGCTTGCCAGCATTACTTTCATTGTGCGGACGTGGAACCTTAAAGGGGTATTCCCATGTTTTAGATTGAAAGAATTTATCCTTTATTAATGCATATTAATGAACTATGATTTTTATAACGTAAGTGTCTGATGGAAGATTTTTAAAAATGTATAATACTTTATTTTATTTATTTAGCAATCAAAAAGTGATTTGCTGTTAAATGTTTAATTTTTAGAAAATAATTAATAAAAATATAATGTATATATGAAATTTTTATTCTAACAAAAAATACAATATTTTACTATAATGTTGGGAGATTCCAATTTAATTATTCTTTTCGGATTAAAGAGAAAAAAAAAATAGAATGGATATCGAAAGAAAGGCCGACGATCTTGGAGTAAAAAATTTCACTCAGACCAAAACAATTCCGACCTTCGTCTATAATAAAAGATACCACGTCACGGATCAGACCTTTCCTCGATCCTCGAGATGACAGTTTCATCTAAAACGCCTCTTCATGGCTGGTGGATCGCTGTTCGATTGCATAAGACAAAGCATTCAAGTGTAATCCATTGGAGGGACTTAAAGATCTTTTCACACTGGAGAGAACAATTTTCACGAATCCAGCTGAATCATAATTGACGAAGATTGTCAATCACGTCAGACGACTTAATCCTTCTTCGAATTATAGGGGCTGCATGGCCCATTTCACAATGTTTAATTAAACACGATTTAATTTAACTATATTTCAGAAAAATTGAACTATATTGTAAAAATTAGTGTCCTAAGTATTCGAATAATTCAAATTTCAAATCCCAGTTATTCAAATTTTCAAATTCCAAGTCTGAATTCTTCTGGTATTCGAATGTTTGAGTGTCGAATATTTCATATGCATGTATCAAAAATCGCGCGAGCATCAGTTTCTCATTTTCAATACGCGTCGCAACCATCACGCGACGCAGTCACGTAATTAGTTACCATTATAGAGCACTTCTTGCTTCTCGTTCGAGGAATTTCGAAGACTAATGATCGATTAAACGCGATTAATCGACTACCGTTCGATTATAAAGCTGCTCATTTCGGTACTTGATTAATAATGAACACAGTACTTTTGATAATTACAAAGTGGCTGTTCTGGTTGCTCTGATTTCTACAAATGACTGGTTGCTAAAGGTTGCCTGAGAAAGAATGGATCAGAATACGATCGAAGGACAAGATTGTTTGTTATTTTATTGCAGCCAGGTAGAGAGTATCCTGAATCGTTCGAGAGGGTATTTTATTCAGCGATATTATGTTGCAATACTTGATTTACACTACGTGTAATTTACATGCACTTTGAGTCAATTTTATTTCTTCTTATCATTTCAAAAATGATACATAGTACTTGATTAAAATACACTCTGTAATTATTCATTATTTTTCGTTATTTTGAAAACAAGTATGAAATAGCAGTAATCAGTTATGACAGTGTTGTTACTACCTTGTTCACATGTTCATGTTCTCTTCTACCTTCAATTTTGAAAAATTCAACTTTAATTTTAATTTAATTTGAAGATTAAGGTTAAGCTAACGTAATCCTATTCATCAAACTCTGGGATTTAAATTGATATATCAGAAGTGCCATTTTATGGTACTTTTATGTTACCAAGTCGCCTTAGAATTTTTATATTTTGTAATTTATCAATTTATATACAAGTGTCTAATAATTATCCGTAATAAATGTTTATAAGTGCCTTACTATACATGGCCATTTTCACTGTGGCATTCCACATCTTGAACACGACTGAAAATTTGCCATTTTCGTGACTACATATTGTCCTCTCCCGCTGTCTGATTTCGTTCAGAGATCCGTACGAAACGAAGCGAAAGGATAACAGGATCGGAACATTAAAAGCGACACCTCTGGACATCGTCTACGGGTACACTTTCTTAACTCATTCAAGTAGGTTCGGTGATCTGATGGAAGGTTTAATTAGCGCAACGAGCAAGTGGCTCGCCTCAAAAGGTCTCCGAGATAATTGGATAATGAGCAGTTTAAAAGACGATACCGGATTTTAAAAAGCCCACGAAGGCTGGCGACGACGTGGAAGTGACGACAAACGATATAGGGGGCTAGGTAGCGAACCCGTGGCCGGTTAATTAAATTGCGAGCCAGCTGGAGCGCCAAACGTGGTCCTGAAACTTGGCGAAAATTGATACCAACCGCTGATACACCCCGCTGTGTTAACGAGCGGCCACCGTTGTCCCGGTGGTGGCAAAAACTGGCGTACAATCGATGTTTACGATAAATCGTTTGAACATGTCCGGAGTAGGCGCGCGAGAGACGGTAGCGATCGTGAATAAAAATTCATGTGTACCGTTTCGTAATGCCCATATTCGACGATGTTCTTACGTTTTAGTGTGCGTATTTTCGAGTACTCTGGGAGTTCGGAAAAATTCATATGATCGATCTTGAGTTTCACGTTCAACGAGGCTTTCGTTTAACGAGGAATCTGTTTTTCTCCTTTCTTATCGTTTATGTTCTTATATTGGCTGTTCTAAAACAGAGAGCAACCACAAAGAGGGTGATATATGTTATTTTTGGCGATAAGCGATAAGTTGAAATTTGTATGGTATGGTGCTCAGTGAGTTTCCTTAAGGAAAATGGTACCACAAGACAAGGGATCCTCCCATTGTCGTGTAAATATTTAAATAGGGAAAATTATATTAATTTTTTATAAATTAACTAATATTAACAGTGGCCATCGCAGAGGACTTCTAGGTGACCATTATCTTAAAAAATTATTAACATTTTCTAATGCAAAGTAACCTAAATCTCATATACCATAATATTTATTACCAAGTGATTTCATATTTTTCTTTTTTAACAAAGATTCATAAAAATGGCACTTATTTCAGTTCCCAAGTGGACATACCTACCTTCTTAATTCACTTTCTGTATATAAAGTGTTAATGACTAATTATGCGCCTACTCAACAGTGGCTATCAAAGTGTCAACCGAAGAAAGCT